ACTCTCCCCAAAGCCAGTTCTTTTTGCCTTGCACTGTCATTAAAAATAGAACCAATAGAATCCACAGCTACCACGGTGCTGCCTCGTGGTTTCTTCCTGCAGCAGGACACACGCTGTCGTTCCAATGCTCCCAAAGGGAAATTCCCTGGATTTCTAACCTTGCCAGCAATCAATGATCAGATCTGAAATACTGCACCCAGACAGAGCTGTGGCTGGTCTCAATTACCCTGGTCCTGCTGGCAAGAGCTGGGATGTGCAGATGGGAACAGGTCCTCCAACAGCCTGAGATCCCAACCCAACAGCTGCTGGAGCCACCAGAGATCTTTTCTAACTCAGAAGGGGTTCAGGTCAGAAATTCAGGCCTGATTTTAGTGTATCCATAACTTTAAATGCCTCCCTGTGTTTCCCACAGAAGTGGACAGGACTCAGAAGCACCTCTCCTCTCCAAGACATGCTCCAGTGGCATATCCACAGCTGCTCTGGGCAACCTGTGCCAGGGCCTCCCCACCCTCACAGCCAACAATTCCCTCCCAATATCCCATCTATCCCTGCCCTCTGGCAGTGGGAAGCCATTCCCCCTTGTCCTGTCCCTCCATCCCTTGTCCCCAGTCCGTCTCCAGCTCTCCTGGAGCCCCTTTAGGCCCTGGAAGGGGCTCCAAGGTCTCCCCAGAGTTCTTTTCTCCAGAAGATGGCCCTTGAAACTCACACTTTGCTTGGTCAAAACCTGGATGGAGCTGCCATGGACAAAGGGCCTGTGGGGCTTTCTGAGGAGGAAGAGATGTCCACTGGGAAAATCAGAATTTTCTGGGCTGGAAGGGACCCACAGGGATCATCGAGTCCAGCTCTGCAGTGAATGGCCCCTGCAGGGATCGAGCCCCGACCTTCCTTCCCTTCTCTTTTTTATTGTCATTACCCTGTAAAGTCCTGCCTAAAATTCCCAGCCTCCTCAAGCACCAAACTGAGGGAGCCTGGTGGATCCACCAAACCAAGGAGAGAGAAGCCACCTTGCTCCTCACCTTGGAAATCCAAAGCACACCTTGCCCTTGGCTGCATTTATTGCCAGGATTATCCCGCGGCGGGAATTGCAGCCTCTCCCTGTCTGGTGTCTGCTGCTCCAAGGGTTGGGAAGAGAGGAAGCAGAAGGGAAGAGCGGGCACATCAGCTGGTAACAGTTCAGAACCAGATGTACATTCCTGCACAAAACTCCGACGTTCCCGTATCCGATTACTTTGGAAAAGTGCATCGCTCCAACCCTCTCATCCCTAAAGCCTCTCCCTCCCTCCCTCCTGCCTCTTATCTCTGCTGCTCCTTTGCTTTTGATTATAAACTTGTCACTGCAGGGCGAGTGCTTTGGGAATATCCGGCTGAGAGACACGAGGGATGAGGGAACAAAGCCCACAGGGAGCAGGCAGCACATGGAAAATGCACACACGGGATCATTTTTAGTGGTTGCTGCACAAGCACTAAGGAATCAACCCCTAAAAAGTGTGTGTGGGGGGGAAAATTAGACCTGGCTGCAGGTTCAGTGCTTGATGTAATTTGTATCTGGGACGTTTCTGAAAGGAGAAAGGATGTTTTTCTCTGTAGCAGGTAGAGGAGGGGGAAGGCAGCGAGCACAAGAGGATCTTTTTTTAGTTCCAGTTTGCTCCAAAAATTGGCATTCTGGGCAGTTTCCCCAGCAGAGGCGAGCTGGAAGAGCTCTGAATTCCCTTTGCTGTCAGGGTACCTTTGCCTGCTTCCCACAGCAAGCACAGGGAAGGGTGGCAGGAGGCAGAAATCCAAACCTTCTCCTCTGCAGCACAGAGGGATCCAAGGGTGATTTACTGGCCGAGCCCTGCCACGGGGACAGCAGGACCACAGGCTTCCTATGGAGAACAAGTGCTGCCCCTAAATCCCAGTCCGGATTCATTACTTCCCTCTAACGAAAAAATTGTAGGAGCCTGATTGTAGGGCACTCAAACAAGGCGCTAAACTTTCACCAAAACCGTACTTTACATCCCGGTTTTTCTTTCCCAACCTCCTTCCCAGCAGGGGAAGGTAGCGGGAAGGATGCGCCCACCCCACCCTCCTTCGCCGGCGGTACCTCCGCGCTCCTGCCTCCCCCACAAACCTCCCCGAATTCCCTGTTCCTCCAGGAGGGCCGGCTCACGTTTCAGCCGGGGCTGCGCACACGTGGCCCGTGCCTTTGCTCTGCTCCGGGGAAGATATTTGCACTTTTGTCAACACGGCGCTCGGCTCTGGCACCGACCTGTGCTGGGGGACTCGGACACACACACACACGGCCCCGGGCTCCGAGGCTCCAGAGTCACACCCCAGCCAAGTCCCACCATAAATTTCCCCTTAATGAATCCTGCCTGATACTAAAAAACTAAAAAGCTTTGCACTTGCAGAGGTTACACAGCAACAAGCCCCCGAGGGGGAAATCCTGCCTCGCTCTGTTGTGCAAACCCCCCTTCGGTGTCGTTGGCAGGAGCTGGGCAGGGTTTCTTTGATGTGTTTATTTCTTTCGTTTATTTCTTTCATTCATTTGTCTCATTCCTTTATTTCATTGATTAATTTAATAGTATGTATTTAGTGTAGAGGATACTCAGCCCAGAGAGGCACATCCCAGAGCTCCAGGAGCGGCAGGCGCTGGGCTGGACCAGGATCACGCCACGTGGCCGTGTCCTTTCCCCATCACGGCTCCAGGGTGATGTCCCGGAGCTCTGTGTGTCCTGCTTACATGGGATGGGCCCAGTGCTTATCCCAAAGGCACAACCCGTGTTCCAGCTGAGAACGGGGCGCTTTTGAGGTCCGTGCCCACAGTCCACCTCCGTCTCCAACCCCGGGAAGGGTCAATCCCACCCCATGGAAGAGCCTCACTCCCTGGGAAATCAAGCCCTGCTTTTGGTGGTCGTGGCAGGGCCATAAAAAGATGCAGAATGTTGGCAGAGCAGAGGGACAGGAGAGGCAGCAACAGCAGCTCTCCCAAACCGGGATCTGCTGCCCTTGCTCCTGGTGCTCACAAACAGCTCAACAAATCCCTGCTCCCTTCCCGAGCAGCTTTTTCCAGGCACCTCGTTGGGGCAGGGCACTCCAGGTGCTCAGCCCCACATCCCACCTGTCCTCCCTGCTCACACATCCCTGCAAACCCACCAGAAACCTGTTTGCTGGGAAAACCGGGTTTCTTGCAGCCGGAAAGGTGCCCCTCCGGCTTCCCTTAAGACTTGGAAATGATTCCACGCACTGAGGAGACTCCTAAATACCTCTGGCACAAAGCAAATACCCCTCACAACGGGTCATATCTGCCTTGGGGCCCGGGGGACTGGTGGACACCATCCCAGCCCACTGGTACTCATGGAATTCCAGGTCTTGGATGCAGGGTCACCCCTCGGACCCATCCAGCAGCCCCAAACCCTCTGGAAAGCGGGATTTGGGGAGTGACACCCGTCCTGCCCGACTCACTGGGGTCTTAAATTGGATTAGGATCTATTTGCAGAACTGCCTCGCTTTCTGACTTCTGTGCTGCACCTGAAAACCTTTCCTCTGGAAAGCAAACACAGCCTGTCCCCGGGGGCTGCCTGGGGAAGTCTTTCCACTATAAACATTACCTACAGTAGTGGAGTCAGCCCCAGGCAAGCCAAAAATTCCTTCTCCTACCGAGGAACACTTTCCAATCAAACCACACATTATTTTTTCCATTAATGAGTGTTGATACCTACTGGAAAACTTTGCAAAAGAAAGCCACTCCAAACTAACTCTTCTGATACAACAGCTCCGTTTTACGAGTTTCTTTTGTCTTGTTCCTTTTTTATTATTATTGGGTTATTTTATTTCCCTGCTCCGGGTTGAAAACATGATCTTTGCCGCTCAGGAATGCGCCTGTTCCTGCAATTTGGGCTGTGACTGAAATCAGGGGTCCAAATCTGATTTTGCTCTGCCTTAACTCCACAGAAGGAAGCAGAGTTTTCCCACATTTTCCCCCCACGGTGTGATGGAGAGGGAAAACAGACCCGTCGTCTTCTTTTTGATGGATCAAAAATCCCGCTCCCATGATTTTTATGCTCTGGGATATCACAAATTCAACAGCAGGATATTCTGGAGGAAAAAATGTCCCCCTACCTGCCTAGGCTCCTGATTCCCTAAAATTCCCTATTTAGTATTTAATGGAGGGGGGGAAAACTAGGGAGAAAAGGGAGATGGGGTGCAGGGCCAGCGTCGCCTCTCCAAGGGACTCTCCGTGGGGTTTTCCACAAGCCATTTCCAGCTGATCCGTATTTTGGGCTGGGTTAGCCCAGGAGGATCTTTTCTTGCCCCCCACAAGTAGAGCCTAGAAGGGGTTTTGCCCACCTGGCCCCAAACTTCCACCCTTTTCACAGCCCAGAGCACGTGTCCGGGGAGCTTTTACCACTCCGAGGTCACCCTGTGGGACCTGGAAGCAGATCCTCACCTCATCCCCACAGGACAGGGGGTTTGCAAGACCCCCAGCACCCAGGGGTGCAAAATAGGGCCCCATTCTGTAAAAATGGAGCCCCATCCTGCAAAAACAGGGCACACTCTGCACCCTGATTTGGGCAAGGAACCGCTGCAGCCTGGCCACAGATCTGGGAATGGGACCCTTGGGAGAACAAGGAGGCAGAGCAGCACCCCAAAAACCCTTGAGGGGGGAGGGGGGGCTGTGCTGGAGGGGTCCTGCAGATTCAGCATCTCCGGGGGCAGGGGGTGGCACAGGCCAGCTATCTTTTATTCGAGGTGCATTCCCAAGATTTTAGTTAAGTGTAACATAAAACTGTGAAAGTTTAGCAGGGGAAAAGCCTTCCTCCCACCGACCTGAGTGGCCAATCAGGAGGGAGCCCCGCACCTCCCTCACTTCTGACAACTATTTAGCAACTGAGCTCAGCTAAAGTTTCCAAAAAGTTAGAATAACTTCCTCTCTCCGAGACCTCAATTTTTTTGCACAACCCCGGTCCTTGAAATAAGAGCCCTTCGAGCAACCTGGAAAACGTTTGGTCAGCAAAAAAAAAAAAAAAAAAAAAAAGGGGAAAAAAAAAAGAGAGAGAAAAAGAGTCCTCCTGTTTTTCCAAAGGATCTGTCTCAGGAATTTAAAGCACATTTAAGACACACACACACTCACATAACATAAGGAGGGGGGGAAAAGCTCTTCCCCTCCCCTTCTTGCAGAAAGCATGGAAGAAAGCTCCAGTTCTCCTGTTTCCCCTGTGGATAGCTTGGGGACCAGTGAAGAGGAGCTGGAAAGGCAGCCAAAGAGATTTGGCAGGAAGAGAAGATACAGTAAGAAGTCCAGCGAAGATGGCAGCCCCAACCCAGGCAAGAGGGGGAAGAAGTCCAGTCCCAGCTCCCAATCCTACGAAGAACTGCAGAGCCAGAGGATCCTGGCCAACGTCAGAGAGAGGCAGAGGACTCAGTCGCTCAACGAAGCGTTTGCCGCCTTGAGGAAAATCATCCCCACGCTGCCCTCGGACAAACTGAGTAAAATCCAGACCCTCAAGCTGGCAGCAAGGTACATAGACTTCCTCTACCAGGTGCTACAGAGCGACGAGATGGACAGTAAGATGACGAGCTGCAGTTACGTGGCTCACGAGAGGCTCAGTTATGCCTTCTCCGTGTGGAGGATGGAGGGAGCGTGGTCCATGTCGGCCTCCCACTAGCCACCGGCTGCCCCCGGGGTAGGTACCCGTTTCTCTTCTCCTGGATGATGCTCTGTGTGGTTTTGGCCCTTCCCCAGCCCTGGGGATGGCTGGCGTGGATGGTGGGGCACGGGGATGCTGGGGGGTGCCGGGGTTGGTTTGTGTCGGTCCCCCTGCGCCCGCGGAACTTCCAGGCGGGCAAAAACGAGACCTGCCCCGTCCGGGGGGAGAAAAGTAAATTAAAATCGGCGTGGTTTTGCTCTGTGGGGATGGAGAAGCGACAGGGGACTGGTGTGGAGAGTTGGATGATGAGGGACAGAGGGGGAAAACCGTCGCCGCGTGAGATTTGCCAGAAAGCGCTGCCTTGGGGAAGGGTTTGGAGAGGGAAAGGTGATCAGCACGAGAGGCTGACGAGGGGATGGATCTGAAACAGCTGCTGCCACATTCCAGGGGTGCCTGCACCCCAAAAAACCCGGTGTTGAGTCCCGCAGTGGCCACATCCTCTCCTGGCTGGGGGGACCGGTAGCCACGCAGGGCTCGGTGATGAGTTCGCCCCAGGTTGCGTTTCTCTTAAAAGAAACGAGTAGCAGATGTCAGCTGCAACCCTGGGCTGTGCCCCTTCCCCCTCACACAACAAAAAGCAACCAAAGATAGAAGAAACTTCACTAAATTTTCGGATTTGTCCGGTTTCCCTTCCCCAAAGTGCCCCAGTGAAGCGGCGGCTGGTGTTGGACGGAGTTTCTTATTTACTCTCCTCGCTAAATTCTTCCTCCTGGTTTTCCATTAGCAGAAAACTACTTCCTCTTCAGCTGCCTTTGTAATATTCAGGGAGGGAGGAATAAACAGTAAGAAAGGAGCGGGGGGAAAGGCTTTTAATAACACCCTCATCTCCAGCTAATTAAGCAGAGCAGCTCTGCGTTGTGTCAGCCGGGCTTTGCTGTCTGGGCTCAGAACATAAACCAGAGCCCACGAGCCCATTTCACCAAGCAAACACTCCAAAGGCAAATTTCCCCCCGCCACCCTGGCAATGCAAAAATGAAATAATTTCATCATGTGGAGAACTGAAGAGGAAAAGTTTATCCCAGCCCATTGGTGGGGCTCTTTTAAAGGGACAAATCCATCGTTGTTTGAGCAGCAATAAACGGCCCCTTCAAACAAACACAAAATAAACCCCGGGCAAAAAACTTGGTGCAACTGCAGTACCTGGTTTAAAAAGGCTGGAAAAAAAACGTTCAACCAGGACTTAGGGGTGTAAAACAACCTTCAAGAAACCACTGCAAGTAATTGTTTCACTCACATCCCGAGATGGCTTGGGATTTGCCGCAGTTAAGGTGTCCACCTTATGGTGGACCTTTGGGGCCCCCAAAATGTTAGTCTGTCTCAAAATTAGTTATTCTACCCACTGCACAAGCTGCCTGTGGTTTAGTTTTATCTAAATAGGTGACTCTGCTGTCGTGGGGTTTATGGCTATTGCCGGGTTCCTATTTTTTGCCCGCCGTGCCCTCATTTCATCTGCAAAAAGCCCAAGCTGAGTGGGTTTTTATCAAGCTAAGCCTGGTTTATAAACCAGAGTGCCTTTCCCCGTGCTAATCTGGCTAAAAAACTGCAGCAACCAGATTTAAAAAAAAAAAAAAAAAACCACACACGCAAAAACCCAGGCTTCTTGTCAAAAACAGATGTAAAATGTCCCAAACACATATTTCTTCAGCAGTTTAGATTGGCTGAGTAGCAAAGTGCTGGGCTGGGACAATGCATTTATTCTGTTGTTTCCCAAATGATGTGTTGCCATTAAGCCAAGGATGGCTTGAAAAATCTGTTATCTAATGTCCAACCGCTCCTGTCACACAGGGCAGAGCAAAACCTGCTTTTGAAAACCAGATTTAAAAAGAATCGTGGCTTCAGTGATTGTTGAGATGGTTCTGACGGGGCAGATTTTAGATGGGACTGAAATTACGAAAAAAACCCACGAATTAGAACCAAACCCTGGCGCGTTTCGGGGTCGATTTTGAGGGAAGGGGAACCCGCCATAACCCAACTTTCAGCTTGGCGTTCTGAGGCGGTTTTTGCTCCAGGGGTCGTTTTCCCAAGCTGCTGAAGTTTCCCCCTCTCCCGTGGCTGTGTGAGCGGGAACACGCGTGCGGTTGAACTGTTGAAAACGCTGTTGACAAATGGCCTGGTGCGGAGCGGTGTCAAATTCGAGCGCTCGTGGCCACACAAACCCCCTCTGCCAGCAGGGCCAAAAGCACTCCAAGAGCCTCCAGGAACGCCCTGAAATGGGGGAACTTGGTTGGGTGGGGGGGACAGGGACTTTGGCACGGGGTTGTCCTGGTCAGAGGAGTTTTCGTGGATAACACGGGAGCAAACGCAGTCTCGACGGGCAAAACTCCTCTTTGAATCTAGGATCAGCTCCTGCCTTTCCTAGGGAGTAGGGAGCATGAATGAGCTGTCTGAATTCAGGATCTGCTGTCTGAATTCAGGATCAGCTCCTGCCTTTCCTAGGGAGTAAGGAGCATGAATGAGCACCGGTCAGACTGGGTTGCCACCCTCCCGTTTCCCTTGGGTTTGGGGAGACATAAGCAAGGAAAGGTTTTCTCCTTGGAGGAACAGTCATTCCTCTCGGGCTGTGAGTGAAATAAAAAGCAGAGGAGCTTTTTGATTGGAAAATCAGAGCCTTGGGAACTGGGAAAATGCCACCTGGCCCCTGCGAGCGCCAGCAGGTCGCTCCTCTGGCCACGAGAGCTTTTCCTGCTCTGCTCCACGGAATTCCAGACAGCTCACTCCCGGAGTTTTCAGGAGAAACAGGCGCAGCTTTGCACTTCAAGGGCTGCAATGGGATGTTTGAGCTGAGCCTTCCTCCCCCCCCCCAAAACCTGCCCATCCTCCTGGCGGCACCTGCGCCCCTTCCCCTCGCAGCCACTTCCTTCTTTCGCTTTCAAAACGTTCGAGATGTTCTAAACCGAAAAAAAATCACCCACTAGGAAAAAAAGACATTACGTTTCCTGACAGTAGGGAAGAGCTGGGATGTCAGGACCATGAGCAAAGCCCAAAGGGCAACGAAGCTCTAACCCCCGCACCAGTAAGACCAGTTTGCCGACACCCCCCTCACTGGGGATGAACCGTCTGCCTCCCCTGGGCTGGCACCGGCATTAATAACACCTTTCCCATTTTTTCCCTGCTGGAGAAGCCACATGCAACGTGTGTGCTCGACCCGCAGCCCCTTCAGGCTTCCAGGGCTGTTTCCAGTATAAAACACCAGCATCCTATTTCATTTTCTCCTTAAAGAAGCAAACAGATGTTATCTCTGCTGGCCCTGGGAACAAAACCTAATTCTGGAGTATCTGAGAGCAGCACAGTGAGCTGGGGGTGTAGTGACACTGGAACTAAGCCCTTTTTGTCCCAAAAGCCCTATTTTTTTTTCGACGCATCCTTCAAAAAATGTAAATAAGTTTCCTTGACAGGAAGGATTGTAAAGTTTGGTATTTACATTAATGGGCTTGTAGCGGGGGGTTTTCATCTCAGCGCATTTAAAAGCCCAGCAAAAGGCATTTTGGAGCCTCTGTTTACGTTCGTGTCGTTCCCTGGGAAAGGATAAATCTGTTACCCAGCAGACACCAACCACGCTGCGAGTCAGCCAAAAAAACGCTCAGGCTCAGGGATCTCTGAAAAACAGGGTGCAAGGAAAATGCTCCGGAGAAGGAGACACGCAAAAAGACAAATCGGCCTTGGCCCGGACACAAATAAATGAATTACCATCAGAAAGAGCTGGAGACACGCACGGGGAAGGGAAAAAGTTGAATCAAAACCAAAGGACCGCTTAGAAAAAGCGGCAAAAACATGTTGTTACTTAATTTGCCCGAGGCAGGGCTGCGGTAAAAAGTCCTATCGGGAGAGATGTGCGTTGAAGGGTCATTAAGGGAACATTCAAGGCAGACATTTGGGCTAAGTAGACCTAATTTGTCTCCAAATTAGTCATCCTCGCACCGCTCGGCTCCGCAGAGGAGCTCTGATTTTCAAAGCATCCTCGTGAAAACAAAGGGAAAGATCGAAACGCTTCTCCTTTGCAACCTCCCTTCACATTCCTGCCTTTGGTGCTTTTTGGGGGGGCGTATTTCGTGGAGTTCTAGGTAGGGATGATGAACGAGCCCTGGAGATCACAGCGGGCTCTTACAGAGCTGGGGCAGATCCTGGAACCGCCGCCGAAATCTCTTGTGGGGACATTTCATGTCACTTTTCCCCCCCCAGCAATATAATTAATTTTATAGCTGTAGCCCTGAGAATCATTTCCATGTGGTTCAGCACGACTTTGAAACCTCCAAGCCCGAAATCTCCAGAATTTATGCCCTGCTTTGGAGCCGTAGGAATGGTGGGATGAAGCCACGAACGTGGAGAGGGACGGCACCACAACCCCGAAACACGGCGAGCTCGACATGTCATCAGGGGACTGGGGGAAGCAGATATTCCAGGGAGCTTTTTAACCCCCTCCCCGGGCTTTGCAGAAAATCGGGAAGGGGAAAAAAAAAGCTGTTCCTTGCTCTCTGCTGATCCCACCAAACACCTCGGCGGGCTGGGGAGTCCCCACTGCTCCTCATTTACTCCTTTAGGCAAATTTGGAAGTGAGGAAAACCCCAGAAACCCTCCAGCAGCCTCGTGCTAATTAGTGATTAGTTCTCAAGAATTAAAACAGCAGAAATATTTGCCAGCGATTTAAAAAAAAAAAAAAAGAAAAAAAAAGATAAAATCAGACCCAAGAGCAGACAGCCCGGAGTTTAATTAGATTTGTAGCTGGGGAAGATGACCACTCAGCAACAACAACTAATCACACACAAATAGCAAATTAACTCAGCCAGCCAATAAATCAAAGCGGGGCAGCCCTTACCCATCACTTTAACCACTTCCATGCTGGACCCAGGAACCACTGGGATGAAAAACAGCGGGATGAGGCGCCTGCTGGTGGGGTTTTTAACCCGGTGGCAGCTGCACGGTTCCCTTGCCCTCCTCCTGCAAAGACGTGGGAATCGGGGCTCTGAGAGCCCTTCGGG